TCAAGAGTACGTCCCCTTACCACATGTAAGAGAATTTATTATCGTTAGATCTTATGGACAAGACTCTCCTAGTCTTCCTATGTAAGACTCTAACCAAAATCACCAAGAGCAATCCTCTTGTGATTTTACACACTTATCTCCAACAATCCTGGACAATAAGTAAAACTTCTACAAAAAGATACAATCCACCTTCTTATAGATTCCTCTTCGTACAAAATAATCCTTGATACTTAGGAATTTGTAACATATACAATAAATAGAAAATAGATGAAGTTTGTTGAATGTTTAAGACTTATTCACATGAATCAATTCTTCCTCTCTTTCAAATAAATAACAAATACTCTCTAAGTGATCGATGATACTTTTTAAAATAGTATGAAAATGTGTTTCAAAAAGTATTCAAGAATGAAAATTCTATTGAAGAAAAATGCAGAGAGATTTGATATGTATTTTGAAAGAGATCATTATAAATGAAAATTTTGAATTCAATTTATAATGATGAAACAACCATTCATAAAATCATGGCAAAGGTTGAAAGATTTTCTTAAAAGGGTTAATGAATTGTTATGGAAAGATGCCATAAAAAAGTTTAGTAAAAAGGTGTTATGAACAAAAGTATTTTTTAGAAAATTCCCAATGACAATCGATTGCACCAAATGACAATCCATTGTCATATGTATAACATTAAAAATTCAATTTTTTCCCTGTGACAATCGATTATCATGTCTGGAAATTGCAATTTAAGGACTGACACAGGCGAACACAAGTCTGTGACAATCCATTGCAAAAAATGACAACCGATGGTCATGCCTCAAAAACTGAAAATTTGTTTAAGTCTTTGAACCAATGTTATGCAACATCTATTGATTTATCCAAGTCAATATATTATATTTGAAAGTGATTTAACATGGTTTAAACATGAAAAATAACTTTTCTAATGCATGATAAATAATATTTTGAGCACTAAGAAATGTATATGATATGAAATTCATATATCTAATGTTGGGAAAAACAAAACATAGAGAAAAAGAGGAACAAAATAACAACATAAGAGATTAATGTGGAAACTCCAAAATCAGAGAAAAAATCAAGACCGTTGTCAAATGACAACCAGATAATATCACCATGTGAAAATTATTACAACACATAGACTATCCTCAAACACCCAAGGTGTAACACCCCAATTCTACCCCAAGCAATTATATAAATAAATCAGAGTTATAAAAATCGTTCATGCAAACGAATCGGGACGTCACAAAATCTTCTATCAAATTCATTATATTCATCGTGGATATACAACACTTTCAAAACATCAGATGAACCATCATCATAACATCTTTAATTAAATAACTCGACATCTACGCAGTGGAATTCTCAATAACATCTCTAACAACAAAACAACAACTTCAAAACAGCACATATTTAATAATAATCAATTTAACATTCAACAACTGAAAAATCAACAATCAAAAACAACAAGCATTCATCCCCCCGAGTGTTACATATCAGAGTAATGACACCGACTCGAACTACTGAAGGTATACAACATTCACTCTCGATTACCTGCACGATACCAACATAAGGGCAACATTCAAACAGAAGAGGTGGGATATCTAACAATATAATAAAGCGCATGATAATTAATATATTAAATTAGATCAATAACATCACCACTTCTCATCTCATAATCAACAATAATTATAACGTATATACACATTCATCAACATCAAAATACACTTCTTTATGCAATCATATAATGCGACTCAATACTATGCAAATGCATGTAGTACCATTGGAGCATAACTCCCATCTCAAAAATTTGCCAATTAATAGAGGCATCAACAAGGCATAAGCCTTCATCTCAAAATTCGCCAATACAGACCATCTCAACGAGCATAAGCTCCATCTCAAAAATGCAATGTCTGCGACACAACCATGAATGTAATAACAACACCCAAGTTAACAATATCTCAAATTAATAACATCTCAAAAGCATCTCAAATTAACAACATCTCAAAAGCATCCCAATTTAACATCTCAAAAGCATCTCAAATTAACAACATCTCAAAAGCATCTCAATTTAACAACATCTCAAAAGCATCTCAACGTCTCGTCATCAACATCTCATATCATCATAATAATTCATCAAACACCATTTATTTATTATAAATCATCAACACAATATCATTAATAACTTCTCACTAACAACTCAGTTGTACATTAATTCCACAGTAATTCATACTGCTATTCTGTAACTCTTACGTCATTACCGTCATTATTCCTACTGTTATAGTTCAAACAACAACCTCTAAGCATTTAACCTTCATCATTCTGTACAAAACCAACGCAACAACCAACACAAATTCTGACCAACACAACTTCTGACAACACAACTTCTAACCAACACAACTTCTGACCAACACAACTTCTGACAACACAACTTCTGACAACACAACTTCTGACAACACAATCTCTGACCAACACAACTTCTGACCAACACAACTTCTGACAACATAACTTCTGACCAACACAACTTTTGACCAACACAACTTTTGACAACACAACTTCTGAATACACAACTTCTGACTACACAACTTCTAACTAACACAGCTTCTACCATCAGAACTTCTACTTTTTATTAATCCAACACAACTTCTAACCAACACAGCTTCTACCATCAGAACATCTACTTTTTAATAATCCAACGCAACTTCTAACCAACGCAGCTTCTACCATCAGAACTTCTACTTTTTACTAATCCAACGCAACTTCTAACCAACACAGCTTCTACCATCAAAACTTCTACTTTTTACTAACCCTACTATTTTGATTCTTAGCCTGATATCAACTTAACTAAAAACAGTACGACTAACTCTATCCCAAATTTAATTTATTATTCTAATACAGCAGCACCTGATCCTTCCTGCCTAATTCTGCGTTTTTCTTTCCTGCATCTCACTACGAGATTCATACTTAAAGCCCTAAAACTTAATATATTCATGACAATTCATCACCTGTAATCATCCTATAATACTACATCGATCAAACAACATCATAACATCATTATTCATCTAAAATTCATCAATTTTCATCATACAACAATCATATATTTTCAATTCAAGAACAAGACAACAATCACCTCTAATCCCACATACCAAACATCATGAACCCAATTATAGAGTCAGAACCCCACCCTTACAACACTCTAACACAAGAGTATAAGAGAAAATAAAAAAAAGTCAAATACAAGCTTAAAGTGTTTTTGACGGGTACATCTTGTAAATAAAAACTTGAATTCTATATATAGCTTTGGATTCACTCTTGCATCAGTAAACTAAGCGACGTGGGACTTAAAAGAACGTTAATCCTATATATAGCCTTGGACTCCCTCTTCTTTCACAAAACTAACCGATGTGGGGCTTCTTTATCATGTATATTTTCAACCAACCCCAACACCTAAGATGATGAACAAAATCTTGTGAACCAAGTAATATCTTCATAGATATTTTTCTTCTTCTTTAGTAAGGTAGTGTTGAGCTTGTTTTCATCAAAATATGTTGGAAACTTTGTCTTCATAATAGTATCAACAAAGACAACTGTCAAAACACCTTATGGAATTTTGGATTGGACAAAAGCCTAGTCTGAAACATTTTCGCGTATGGAGATATCTATAATTAGAAGATAATACCAAACTCCCTAAATTGACATACCCTTATCTAGCAATCAATCACACAAGCAATTTATTGATACAGTTAAGTTAATTTTCCAAACTTTAACTCCGCAACACTTGACAAATGATAAATAAGTTTAATTTGATTCTCATTTTTGTTGATGATTGATTGATAATACTCCTTCCGATCATTATTATAAATAAAAAATAACCTTAAATCTTGGTCACTATTATAAATAAAAGTCATTAACTTTTAAACTAATTAATGCTCGTATTATTATTATACCCCTAATTTAATTTTAAAGCATTTAATATTGGTAATTAATTATCAAATACAACTAACGATATTATATTAAATGTTACTTTAATTGTACATAAAATCAAAAAAATTAATTACACTTAACTAATATTTTTAATTAGGTGTGAAAGTGATTATTGTGACTTATAATTGTGATCCAATAGAGTACATACAAAAAATAAACATATAAATACAATAATAAAATCTTACATCTCATAAATTACTATCAACATAAATATTACATTTATTTGAGAGGCAAAATCTTTATTTTTAAATATAAAAAAAAAATCTTTCATCTCTCACAAATTTTTTTGTAAAATTATTTAATAAAATTAATGTTTTACAATAGTTATTTATTTCAAAATTATATACATATTATGAGATAAAATTGCACAAATATGTTAGTAGTAAACATTAGTAAATATTTATTAAGAAATGGATAAAATGACAAACACAACTAGTCTAAATCTATTCAATAAACTAGATCTTTCCTTTTCATTCATTTTGTTGCAAATAGAGAGAGAGATCTCTTTCCTACGCCACGCCAAATCACCAAACTTCACACAAACATTTTCCCTTTCCATGTTTTCAATCCCTTTCACTCCCCTTCCTTTTCTTCAATTCCAAACACCATATATAACACAAAATCGAAACTTCAACAGCATTCAATTCCCTTCATATAGTAGCGTGCAGAATATAGAAATGCGTGAACTCTCGATTCTCTGAAACAAAAAAAACTAAAACACCGTAGCCGAAGAAGAAACCATCCTTGTTCCGAATTTTTGATCCGATCATCCAACGGCGATTAAACCATCCACGTGTCACCCAACACCTGAGTTTTTGTTTCCTTAAACAATCGATTCGTGACGTTAAAATCTTAATCGAACCTCTTTCTGCTTCGTCTTCACCGAGCCTGAACCCGAAGCTCCGGTTCGAAATGGTGTCCGTTCTGGTTCGCCACTGAACCGAACCGGTTCGAAAAACCAAGATCACCGGGTTTTGTTTATTAGATTCTTAGTATTAACGGCGGTGATGAGAGGGAGCTGTTGGTTGAACCGTCGGATTGAGCAAAGGTTTCGGTTACTTGCGATCTCCACCGTTAAATCAGTGAAGATCAAGCTTCTGCTGTTTTTTTGCGTCGCGTTAACGCTTCTCGCATTTTCAACAACTGGTTCAACTTTCTTATTATGGAACAATAATAATAATATTCAAACTCCTCCACTTCGTCGTTTCACTGATTCAAGGTTCGTTTTTTTTCCTTCTTTTTTTAATAATACTTATTGCACTAATGAAAATAAATTAGATTTGTTTTGGTTTTTATTATAGAAACATTTTATTTTGTTTGAAAGATACAAAGGTTTGGTTTTTTGTTTATGGAATTTCCATATATATGTGTTTGGAATTAAGATTCTGTTTGGTTTTTATTGTTGTCTTTTGTTTTTTCTTTGGCACGGGAAAAATAATTAGAAAGGGTTATTTGATTATAATAGGGTTTTATTTACAGGGTTGGATAGAATTGAAGTAGGTTATTGGTTTGATTTGACGATTAGTGTTAAGTTCATTTTGGAGAGAAAATTAGGATATGATTGAATGATAATGTTTAGGATTTGGATTTGGATTTGGAAAGAATCTATTAAGGTGGATTCTGAAGGAGCTAAATGTTCGTTATGCTATGTAGCACCGACACCTTTGAAAAAAGGTGTGTCTGTGTCGATGTTAGACACTTGTACCTGCACCGACACTTGTAATTACATTTAATTTATTCATTTTTTAAAATTGTTACCGGTGTCGCTGTATTAGTCGTCGGGGTCATGTTCGGGGTGTCCGTGCTTCGTGGTCTGTATGAGCTTTTGTTCATATTTGTATGCTGGAATCATTTCTTGGACTTTGAATTTTGTTTTTGGTACTCTTTTTCAGTGATTATCTTGTGTAATGGACTTTGACCAGTAATTGTGTATCTGATGGATAAGTTAGTGTGTTTTGGTGAGAGGTTGTCTAATAAGTTTTAAATGATCTTGATTATTTACAATTGATTTGGTCAAATTTCAGTTTGAAGTATCAATTTTGACTAAACATTTAAATATCAATATTGATCTGGTCAAATTTCAGTATTGATTTCGTCAAATTTCAGTTTGAAATGAACTTGAAAGCGTATGGAGAAAATATCAATTTTGATTCAGAATATTCAAACGTTGAAATTTTTTGTAAAGTTTGAGAAAAGGTAATGTTTGAGGGAAGGTAATCAGTTTTCGCCCTTTGAACCATGAATTCAAACAAGTACTTAATATATCTATAGCACCGACACCTTTGAAGAAAGGCGTGTCTGTGTCCGACTGTCCGTGTCAGACACCAACACTCGTGATTACGTTCAATTTATTCATTTTTTAAAATTATTACCGGTGCCGATGTGTCGGTGTCGTGTCTGGTGTTAAGTGTCTGTGTCCATGCTTCATAGCTTAATATTACCAGTCATCACTTCTTGGTGAGATTTCAAGATCACCTTACCATGTAATTGGAGAAAAGGGAAAACAGAACAAAATCTAGGGTTGACTTTTAAGTTTCTAAATTTTATTTTCATAGCACTGAGAGTTTGTTGCTGTAATACCAGAGATCTAATTGTTGTTTATTCTTTGTTTGCAGGAAAGGGTATTCTATTGTAATGAACACATGGAAGCGATATGATCTCTTAAAGAAGTCTATCAAACATTATTCATCTTGTCCTCGACTTGATTCAGTACATATTGTGTGGAGTGAACCCGATCCTCCATCAGAAAGTCTTCTAAAATATCTGCACCAAGCTGTAAAATCCAAGTCTAGGGACGGACGATATGTGAAGTTGAGGTTTGATATCAACAAAGAAGACAGTTTGAACAATAGATTTAAAGAAATTGATGATTTGGAGACTGATGCTGTCTTTTCTATTGACGATGATGTCATATTTCCTTGCTCTTCAGTGGAATTTGCATTCAATGTTTGGCAAAGTGCACCAGATGCGATGGTGGGGTTTGTACCTCGTGTACATTGGGTGGATCCATTGGTATGGTTTATTTTTTTACTTGATGATTCTCCATTATCCTTGATAATTGGTCGCTCTTAGTTTCTAAAGCTGACCCACATTGTAATTTGGGGACATAAGCTGCTAGTCATGTTTGATGCATCTTTAAACCTGATGTGGACTTATGATTAATGTCTGTTAAGTTTGGTATATTATTTTTTTCATGTTTAGTTTAGAGAGTGGAAAAATATCAAAAAACTTGTAACGCTAATCTTCAAGTTATTCAATGTTCTTGCAGAATGGTGAAGACATCAAGTTTAGATATGGTGGATGGTGGTCCGTGTGGTGGACGGGCACATATAGCATGGTGCTCTCCAAGGCAGCATTCTTTCACAAAAAGTATTTCAGTCTCTACACAAATGAGATGCCATCATCGATTAGAGAATATGTAACTAGGAACAGGTTTTTATCCGAACATCCATCAACTACCTCTATTCTTATCAGATTTCAATCTATCAAACTTTAGTTCCAATTATTTTGTTATTTCTCAATAATTCAATTGATTTACCAGGAATTGTGAAGATATTGCAATGTCTTTTCTTGTCGCAAATGCAACCGGTGCACCCCCTTTATGGGTTAAAGGTAATTTAACAGTTCTGTATTATATTACATTTCCCTCAACTTCACTTCCTCAAAATGTATATGCTCTTTTTTCCATTGAAATACATTTAGTGATAATGTTCTCCCATTAAGCTAGTCTTCTTTCCGTGAATGCAAACTACATCTTCACATTCTTATTGACTGCTAGAAGTAGTTGTAGTTTGTTCTGTTCATTTAGAGGCAATTGTTTCTCTTTCTCCTTCTTGAATAAGCTGGTGTTAATTATCGTGCCGGCTAGTGTTTTTTGATAAGTTGTGTACATTGTCTCAGACATGTTAGGCGTGTACATTGTCTCAGATGTGTTAGGCGTTGTATGTTTTAAGTAGTTGATTGTAAAGTTCCCTGCTAATGCTTGGTTTAATTTTGTCCATCGCGGTAATAAATATCGAACATTACTCCTTGTTGATTCATACAAAGATGATAGGTATGTATATGATGTTAATTAACTTGGTGGATTCTGTCTTTGTTACAGGAAAAATATATGAGATTGGATCAACAGGAATTAGTAGTTTGGGAGGTCACAGTATACGAAGATCAGAGTGTGTCAACATATTTACAGCCGAGTTTGGGCGGATGCCCTTGGTATATACGTCAGTGAAGGCAGTTGATAGTCGCAATGTTTGGTTTTGGTGATTAGTAGATTGTAATTTTCTTGCATTTTTAGAAATTCCACTGTTGTCAATTAGTGTTCAGTAGCTAGTTGAGTTACCGCGTTCATGTTAGTCGATAGAGCTGTATGATATTGAATCTTTTTATACACAATTCTTGCTTTTTGGCCCTATTTTAGCAAGTTCCTTAGGTTGATTTCTTGTAATATTGACGTGTAATGCAAGTTAGCATTCTAGGTAAGGGTGTTTTTTGTCCCTTAGAATAAGATTTTGTAATGTAGAAGAATATTGAGGGATATTAAATTCTTAGAAATTGAATTTCATCTAGTGTGTTAACCTAATAGAATGATGTTTGAATTGAGGGTGAGTTTGACACAATCATGTTGGATAACTGTGATATCTGTGATTTTGACAAAAAAACTACACTTTCTTTTTGCATGAATGAACTGTTAATAACACTAAATGTAAATCAAAACAGAATCAGAATGTAAAACTATCAATGAGTAACACAATGATTTGATCTCTAGTGAGATCAGTTAGAAAATGTAATTGCACAATGATGTGTTTATTCAGCCACTCAAGTTTTAGACAGCTTTATAGCAGAACAACAATAAATATATGAATATTATGAACAATATCATATTTGTAAGTTATCTAATTCTTCTATAGGAAAGCTAGTACTATTGTCTTGTTGTCCACCAGTATTCCAAAGGAAACTAGCATACTTTGACAAATAATAAGTGTTGCCAGGATCTGATTCCAATGCTTGTAGATATCTCAATTCTGCTGCCCAATTATCCTTTCTTATCCACAACAAAAAATCAGCATATCTACAATATGCTTCACCCTCTGGTGACTCCACTAGCACTGATTTCTTGTAGTATTCTTCAGCACTGCACTCATTAGACAAGTTTAATTAGTGATAAAGCATGTAACTCTAAAACTTCAAATAATAATTCATGTACAACATCATTTAATGTAACTCACCCATCATTGTCATGAAGAACAAGGAAGAGGAACTGTGCATAGTTAGACAGAAGAAGTGAATTGTAAGGTGAAAGGACTATATGCTTTTTGTAATAAGCCTCAGTTTTCTCATATTCCTCATATTGATCCCCTTCAATCTCCACACAAATTGGTGCCACAAACTTCATCATTGTTTCATCATCCAAAACCTCACCCCTCAACTCCTTTTGCATCTTTGAAGCTTCCTCCAACATAGAATTCCACAACTTTACTTCTTCCTCTGTCAACTCTTCCTTAACACACCCATCTTGAACAACATCAGCATGTAGAACTTCATTGATCATTGATGAAGTAGTAACATCCTTAACTATATTGTTGTTATACATAGAAAACACAGAGAAGTTACTTAAGAAAACCATGACATCAACCATGAGAGACGGTGTCTCACTGAAAACCTGTTGAAACAACCACACAAATGAATCATCCATTTCTCTATTTAGCTTAACCATAACACTTTTCAAATCTTCACCACAAAGTGATTCCCTTGTTTGCAAAGCATGATTCTGAAGCTCATGTAGAATAAACAACAAAGATCCAAAACTCTTCTTAACAGAACAATTATTCAATTCACTTGATTCATCCTTAAAACCTTGTTCCAATTGAAGCTTCTTCTTAATCATCCTAATAGACAAAGGGATTCCAACACTTTTCACTCTCCTTTCAAAACTCAGTCTCAAAATCTCTTCTCTCTCTGGCCAACTAGGCGGTTCTGGTTGAATACCAAGTAAAGAAGGCTCCAAAATTTCTCTTCCATTTTCATCTTTGTGAAGATGAAAATCATCAAAAAGAGCAGAACAAGAACAACCACGATTTACTCTTTTACCCTTCAAGCTCCTTGACCTAGACACGGAAAAAGAACAACCATTGATTTTGTTCCTCTCAGTGACATGTTTCATTGTATGACAAGAAACTGAACGTGGTGATTTCCATGAATCAGAGGGAAGAGAATAAAGGGTTTTTAGTTTCCAACATTCAAGATTGGGAGAGACACTTGTACTCATGTTTGGTTACAGAATTCTTAAAGAAATCAAAGAAAAAACAATGATCAATTTTATATTAACAAAACCCTTTCACCCAAAAAAGCATTTTTCATCAAATGTATATCGAAATTAATCAAAACCGTGGGAAATCCGTGTTTATAATAGAGAAAATTCAAAAGGGTAACACAAAAGGTTTGTCTTTTCTCGAACAAAAGTTCAATCAGATGACAACAATTTTTGATAAATTGAGAAATACAAACAAAAAGGGTTAACAAAAAATCGATCCTTTTTATGGTAAAAACTACGTAAAAATCTAAAATCTCAAATGGGTTCACAAGAATTCAAGAGTTTTTGTTTGTTGTACACCAAAAAAAACGTACAAGGTTTTGTTGAGCTGAAAAAGTGGAGTGGATAACACGTGGGGTCTAACAAACGTGGCAATGAGATAATGAGATATTTATTTTGGAAAAAGTACTTTTATTTGTGATTTTTCTAATGGATTTTTTGGGGTAAGATATTTGATTGATAAGTTTGTGGATGATGAAGTGATATTTGAAGAAAGGATTGTGTGCACTTTTTGGGTTTGAATGAATGGTTCGTTTGTGATCCTAGTGGCATGCACTAATATCACTTTGGACTTTGTAATGTAAATCACAATTATAATCTGGTTATTATAGGTCAAATTTGTAATTTGAATGATAGATTGATCTTTTGAAATATGAATTTATGGCTCAAGTTTATAATTATTGAAATTGAAAATTAATAATTTATGGTCAACAAATTAAAATTCTTTGTAACTTATAATTCAAATTTCATAATGGTTAGTCCTAGTAATTAAAATAAGGAAAATGTTTATTAGTAAGAAAGTATGGAAGTAAGAAATGTAAAATTAAATTTCAATTATTTATTATTATTATTATTATTTCATGATTTCTATTAAAAATAAAATTAAATTTAAAATAAATTTAAAATTATTCTCTAAAACAATGATAAATATATATTCTTGTCTTTTTTATTCTAATGATTCTTACTCTATAGCATTACTCTTAAAATAATGATAATAATTTAAATGAAGAGGAGTAAGAAATTTTTAACGTAGATTTGTGAATCTATATGTTGTGTAGATATATCTGTCAATTGATTTTGATGATTATAACTTTCAAATGATTTAAAAGATAACAACTCCATAAGTCAAATAACTCTTTGGAGTTGATAGTTCTCTTTAAGAAGTTCTTTGTGACAACAATCAAAAGAAACGTTGATACAATTGTTCAATGATTCTTGATGAAGTTATCTGATAAGAAGAAAATATCTCAAGTTTCACGAGTCAGGTGATTCAAGTTCTAGTTGAAGTGTTAGACAATATTGAATTATACAAAGAAACATGAAGTCTTAAAGTTGTAAAATTGTGAAAGCTCATCTGGTCATGTGTCTAGCGCTTTAGTTTGATCAGTTCAAACTGTTAAAGTAACAAAAATAAGTCTTGAGGTAATAAGGCAACCCACACATACAATTTTTTTTTAAACCTCTTCTAATTTTATTAAACTTCTTAAACAATTCAGACAATTGACTAAGAAGTGTTTTTAATCAATTAGAAAAGTTAAACCCACTGCCTAAATGATTAAGGTCTTGGCCAAATTAATTAAGAAAATAGAAACTCATACTGATTGATTAGCATAACCATTAATCAATTAAAATATATAGTTGTTTTAGGGTTTCTTTTTATGTATTAAGATTGTTTTAAGGGTGTTTTAATCGATTAACTCATATATTTATGTCGCGGCGCGAAAACTACTCGAGCGTACGAACTTTAGAAATACAACAAGAGTCGTCACCGAAATTTATTTTTGAAAGGGAAAACATCGATAAAACCATAAAGGAACAAAAATTCGATTATGCGCGAGGAAGATATTAGCATCCCATACACCCATTGTACTAAACATGAATCATTTAGTTAGTTTTGCAAATAAGAGTGTTAGCATATGTTGTTTGATTTCTTCTAATTATTACGACGTGTTTACAAGAAAAAGAAAAGGGGGAAACTTTAGGTTTTTTATTTGAGTACTTGACGAGACGTTGAATCTCGCTCTTACGTATCCCCGGGTGCGATAGAAAACTCAAAGTTGCGTATTTCTAGGTAGAAAATAAGGGTTTATTGGTTGATTTTAGTGAATGATGTTTATGTAACATTAGAGCAGTTAAGTTTTGCTTGGTTGTCGCGCGTGAAATGAAGTGTTTACTTGTACTGCGTTGGAATGGATAAAATATCATTCGTTTTATGAAAAAGTCGCTTAGTCGCACTAGGGTAAAAAATATGTTTGATTGGTTGAAGTTATTTTTAGGTGGAAGAAAAGTAATCATTTTGAACAAAGTGTACACTTTGCATCCGATTACTCGAGGACCAACAAGGTGTACACCCGATACGTCCCTTTTTAATCTGATTTTAATGAAAATATTTTTTTGTGGAAGACAAGTAATAGTTTTGAACAAAGTGTACACTTTGCGCATGATTGTTCTAGGATCAACCGGATGTACATCCGACATGCCCCTTTTTAATCTGATTTTCATTGAGAAAATTAATTTGAAGTATTTTTTATTAAGAGGGAAAAATGAATTGATGTTGATCAAGTTGGAAAAAGTTTAGTTTTGATTTAAAAATGATTTTAATTTGAGTTTAATGAAAATTATTCTTTGTGGAAGACAAGTAATCTTTTTGAACAAAGTTCACACTTTGCGTCCGATTACTCGAGGATCAACCGGATGTACATATGATACATCCCTTTTTAATCCAGGTTTAAATTAAGTATTTTAGCCCGAAGAAAAATAATCATTTTAAGTAAAGTGTACACTTTGCGACTGACTACTCAACGATCAGTCAAATGTACATCTGACACACCCTTTTTTAATTCGATTTTCATTGAGAAAATTGATTTGAAGTAGTTTTGCTTAAGTGGGAAAATGATATGACGTTGATCAAGTTGGAAAAAATTTGGCTTTGATTTAAAAATGATTTTAATTT